GGGAAGAACTCTTCAGGACCTATAGAACTATTCAGTACTTGAAAGAACACTAGCTCTGTAATCAGATAACCAGGGTGCATGTCCTGATTCTGTTACTTATTAATTGTGTGACCGTGAGGTCATTAATTACCTCCTGCAAACCTTAGTGTACAAATTTCTTAAGTGGGGATTATAGAACCTACTTTACTTTGGTATAAGGATTAAAAGAGGTAGTGTATGTAATGTGCTTAGCCTGGTGCCAGGCACAGAGTAAGCTTTCTAATAAATATGAGTTGGTTTTTGTTTTCTTATTATTATTAATCATAAATAATAGTAGGTTTTATACAGGGAAGTAAAAAGGAGACAAAGATATAAAACAATGAATCGTGAACAGTAACAGACAAAAGGTGATAAAGACTAAGTTGTGAATTCAAGACTTTGAAAGCCTGTTAAGAGACAATCATGAGCTGTAATAATCTGATACATACTTAATAATCATAAAGTACACAGTTGTATCTTTTTTATCATAATACTCTATTTTTGAGTTTCAGTAGCTGTTTGTTAGTACACTTGAAGCTGAGAATATTGATGCCTTACAACTTTCCATGTATGTACACCCACATAGATTATAAATCATTTATCATTCAACAAATATTTATTGAGTACGTATTGATTCCCAAGTACATGGCCTATATTAGTGAACAAACAAGAAGAAGAAAAAATCCCTGCTGTCATAGAGTTTATATTCTAGTGAGTGATGCAAACAATATACAAAATGTATAAATAGAATATATAGTTCATTAAATAATGATAAGAACTAAAGGGAAAAGGAAGCAAAGAAATGGGATAGAAAGTATTGAGGGCAGAGTGACATTTCAGTGAGGGAGCGAGAGAGCAAGCCATGGGGCTTTGTGGAGGTAGAGTTTTCCAGGCTAGGGAAGAGCAAGTGTGCAGACCCTGAGTTGAAACTGAGCAGGTGACCATTATGGCTGGAGCACAGTGACCTGGGGGAGAGTAGTGTGAGGTCAGGGAGGTTGGAGGGCCAGAGCATATTGGCCTTACAGGTTATAATAAGGACTTTGACTTTTACTCGCAAAGAGAGGGGAAACCACTGGAAGTTTTGGAGCAGAGGAGTGTCATGATGTGAGCTATGTTTCAACAGGATCACTGTGGCTGCGGTGTTGAGAGTAGATTGTGAGGGGTGAGGGCAGAAGTAGAGAGGTCAGTAGGGAAATCCAGGCAAGATAGGATGGTAGCTCGGATTGGGAACAGAGGAGATATGGTGAATTCTGGATATACTGAAGGTAGACTAGTTTGCAGAACTCCATGGCACCTGTTTCTTGGTTATTGAAATCCTATTTAGTATAATGTGATCATTCTTAAATTATAGGTTGTCACTACAAATAATAGTACTTAAATTGTGTTTAAAAACTGATTCAGGTACATTTGTCACATACTGATTATTTCTGTAGTGTTTGCAGTTCTTTTTTTAAGCATCATAGTGCTTTTACTATGAAGGCTTTAAAGACATCTCTATATTTAACGTTTTTAAAGATATATCTTTGTTCTGTATTAAATTTGTAATCTTCCAGTCCATACTAAATGTGCTTTTCATTTTGATCAAATCAAACAAGAAGGGTTGATGTTTTAACATACTACCCTCTTATATGTCAGCTAGCTGTGGTTATTGAAAACATAGGATCTGAAGTTAGAGTTCTAAGAGAATACTCTTTTTCTTGGGTTTCTTTTGCTGAAATGAACATGAAAATAATTTGTAGTGTTAGAGCAGAAAAGCAAGATCAATTTTATTTTATTTCATTACTTTGTAAGTTTCAAATTCTTTTTACATCATGCTGTCAATTTGATAACTCAAGAATATTTCCTGAACTGATTTTTATTTTGCTACACCCCACCTCATTCCAGAAAAGTTTTTCAGCAGCTCATGGAACTGTTAAGATAGTTTTGAGAATGTTTTTCACCCTGTAGCAGCACAGTATTCCTGATTACCACACAGATGTGTAGAATGGGTCTGATGTTAGCTCTTATCAGTGACACTAACATACCTCAATAATTAGTGGTCATTTCATGACCAGGAGGAGGTGTGGTATCCCACACTTTATTACATGCTTCAAATTTTAAATTTCATACAGAAAATGTAGAAAGGCAAATAGAAACTGTATCACCTAGAAATATCTGATTTTCTAATATTTTGGTTCTTACCATTGTCAGTATGCATACATATGGCATAGAAATTTATGGTACCTATTTTATGTGTATGTATAGAAAAATTAAGTATGTTATAATTAATAATTACTTTAATAAACTTCTTTGGTTCATTTAACATTATACTGTCAACTTTTCTGTATTAAAATCTGTTCTTTAACAGTTTTTTCAAGCATATGAATAAATTTCTTTTGTTCTGTGATATAGATATTTAGTCAACTTCATCTTTTAGAATATTTAAGTTCCAATATTTTATAGTCAAACCATACTAGGGTGAATTTTGTGGCTTAGTTTCTATTTGCATGTAGATATTTTTGATTTGAGGGTATTTCTATATATTTCTATATGTATGTATGTGTCAAAGGTATGTATAAAACTACAGAAAGTTAGAAGTTGAAGATATGAAAGTTACTTTTTTCATAGTTAAAGAAATTCAAGAAATTAAGAGTTATACTGTTTCCCACATATTACTGGTAGAGCAAACGACTTTTAAGAGATTGGGCTATAATGTGCTCAGTTCAGTGCCTGGCACCTAATAATAGCTAACACTTACTGAACACTTAGTGCCACACTGTTGTAAGCACTTTAAACTTGTATTAATTATCTTAATCTTTACCACAATTATATAAGGTAAGTATTGTTATTAACCCTTTACATTGATGAGAAAACTGAAATTTGAAAGGTTAAGTTTTTCCCCCAGAGTTACATAGCTCATGACAAAACCAGGATTCAAACCCAGGTAGTCTGGCTTCAGAGTCTGTGCCATCACCACTCCACTAAACAGCCACAATAAATAAAGTTGTTTCAGTTCCAATATTTTTGGATTTTAAAAAGATAGTTTAGTGCATATACTCTTTTATGTAACACCCCTATTGGGGTTTGGAGTGACACCCCATAAGCATATGCATTCATGTTTCTGCAGTGAAGCATATTTGTCTCTAAACTAAGTGAGATTTAAAAAAAAAAAAAAGACTATGAATAGTCTGATGTCAGTACGGGCTGCCAAATGAGTTATGAAAACCTTTTTGGCTTTTAGAATTGCAGATAAGGGATCATGGACCTGTATAAAACTCAGCATAGTGTCTGGCATTTAGAACACATTCAATATGTGTTGGTGGGTATTACTACTATCATTACTATTACTAGTAGTTATCAGATACTTATATACTCATACATATGGAAAATTGGTGAATCATACAGTGCTAGGAGTACTTTTGTCACATCGTGACCTGAGGAGGGGAAGGTACCTAAGTGTTAGATCTTTCAGCCATTTTTCCCTAAATCAGAGTAAGAGAGGGCGTAAGTGACTTCTTTGTCTTTTCCTTGTCCTAAATGTAGGCTTGTCTAGCACAGTGTTCCTGTCTTTCTGTCCATGTGCACTCCCGATTGTGCAGTATTTGATTCCAGAGTCTACAGCTTGTGTTTTCACCCTTTCAGAGATCTCAGTGAAACAATTTCAGGTTTTTCCTTGTTCTTTATCATAGCTCTCTTTATTTAAGCATGAGCCGATGGGGAGGACAATTTAACTGAGTCATCATTTCTCCAGATATGACCAGATACGATTAAAGACTAAAGTGATTGCATTTGAAATTGAGATACCTCCTCTTCATTTCCACCATTTTAATTGATGAAAAACTTTAATCACAGTCACGAAACCATTTATGACAATAACCAAGAAATGTTTAGTATTACACACTGATTTTCATTAAATGGTCATATTACTTTTATTATAATCTGACCCAAATATAAATTTATTAAATGCCCTTGATATGTATACTTGCTATTACAATTACAATTAAAAAAAAATATTTTTAGCACTTAAGTTTAAACCTGTTCTCTATCCTTGGAAATATCTCTTTAAACTGTTTGAAGATCTGCTGTATATACTTTGTTTTCTGCTTCTGCATGTTGGGGTAGAGTTTGTCTTCCCTGTTCCTGCACCTCAATATCTGGAAATATCCCTGTAGTTTTAACCTCAGTCATATGGCAAGTCCAATGAGCTGGAAGGGCCCTTAGAGTTTACAAGACTACTTCAAAAAGCTTGTGGAAAATAGAATTGAAAGGTAGTTCAAATCTTTTTGTGATCTTTTTGAAGTATACTTGTATTTAGTCAAGCTGAAGCAGAGAGAGAAATGTAATCAGTTTGTTGAGGGTGAGAATGGGGTCTTATTTATTTGTATTTGACAGCTTTTTGATCCATAATGAAATATAAAATATAGAAATATCTGTTCCTTTTTTGTTGTTGTTGGAAGGGATGTGTAAAGTCTATAGTTTGTAAAACGGTTAGTCTTAATCGCTCCGTGTGTGTGTGGGTTGTGATATGGTGTGTAAAAGAATGTGGTATGAAATATAAGATCATTTTCAGTTTATTTCATATCATTTGATCCCCACAGAACCTTTTTGTTTTGGTAGCTGGCATTCCCTGTAGCATCATGTTGGAATTTGGCATGCATTATTTAATAAGCTTTAGTTCTTTCATTTGTACATTTTGGTCAGTTTTGTAGTGGTAGTAGAAGTTGAGTTTAAATTCCAGGGCAGAAAACTTGGAAAGGAGAATATAATGTTAATCACCATCTGATACAGTGTTCACAAATATAGTTATCAGTTTGGCACATGTTCACTAATATAATTTCTTCACCTGACAACATTATTTAATTTACGACTTTAGAATTTGAACTGCATTGAAATCATTGATAATTGGTATTTATTTTTTTACAGAGAGGAAAAAGGAAAATGGATTACTGAAAAAAGTGTTATTTGTCATCATTTAAAAATTATGTTTCCTTTATCTTTTCTAGGTTGCTGTAGTAAAACTAAAAAATGCAGATAAGGTATTTGCCATGAAAATATTGAATAAATGGGAAATGCTGAAGAGAGCTGAGGTAAGAGTTTTATATATTTTGGAATATTCAAATAAAATTTTAGAAATATCTTTAGAGACCTATAATTATTAAGATCCTTAAATATTATTTAGTAATATTTTATGGTGCATTTTTTAAGGCATTAAAATACAAATTCAGAAATTCACAATTAATTATGATAAAAGTTATAATTTGTGATGCTGATTTAATATTGGCTGAAAACTGAATGGAAACTCTTGTAATGTGGGGCATCTACAGCTATGTTAAAAGGATGTGTGCAAACAAGTTTCTTTTATTGGATGAAATTTTGTCACGGTTGATTTCCAATGTGATGTAACTTGTTTCTATTGCTCTGTGTTTATCTGTATTCTGCTCCAAGCAAAAGTCAGCAGGAGTTTATAATATGCCCTTTCAGAATTCTGTTTATTGCTGGTTATGCATTCACTTTATGTTTTGTTTTATATCATAGGAGTTGTAGTAAACTCTGGTAGTGTAAAAATTGTCAGCTTTCTTTGGTGCTAGATTTGAGGGAAGGATTGGCTAGAGTGATGTTACAAATATCTAACAGTTGGTATGGTATAGGTGCATTTGGGGAAGGGTTCTAGAGACCCCCTGCTGTGCTGGATCATAGAGAGGGGCTGGATGGGGTACTCATCCTGGGGTCTCAGGGAAGCAGAACTTACTGGTGTGGAAGTGTTTCAATATTTTAACTGGTAAAAAGGTTGTACTGATGAGCCATCTGAGTAATAGCCCCAGAGATTAGTAAGATCCATAAGAGGATCATGAGAAATTATCTCTTAGAAATCTTTGTTTACCTGTTAGTACTTATAGCAACCCGAAGAGGAGCAAACATATGGGGAAAAGCAGATGGGGTTCCATGATGATAGATATGGTAATAGTGAAAGTAAACACTTCATTAGTTCTTTCTTTTGGGAAATTTGAAAAATAAAACACAAAGAAATTAATAATCCCTTATGTTCCATCTCCCAGAATTAATCAGTAACATTTTGGCCAGGTTTTTGCATTCAGTCTTCTTTTTCTATGCATAACTAAAAAAAAAAAAAAAAAAAGAAACCCCCAAAAAACCGTACTTATAGCAACCCGAAGAGGAGCAAACATATGGGGAAAAGCAGATGGGGTTCCATGATGATAGATATGGTAATAGTGAAAGTAAACACTTCATTAGTTCTTTCTTTTGGGAAATTTGAAAAATAAAACACAAAGAAATTAATAATCCCTTATGTTCCATCTCCCAGAATTAATCAGTAACATTTTGGCCAGGTTTTTGCATTCAGTCTTCTTTTTCTATGCATAACTAAAAAAAAAAAAAAAAACAAAGAAACCCCCAAAAAACCACACGTGAAATACAAACATATTGTTCGTAAAACAAACAATAGCACATTACAGATAAAGCTTAAGGACTCTTTGACCACTCCCCACCCAAATCCAGCCCCTCTCTCCTTCTGAAAGTAATTACTGTGTGTTAATATCCTATTTTAAAAAGTGTCCTGGAGCTTTTGTGTCACATACATCTCTGGCATATGTGCCAGTGTCCATTATATTCAGAAACTTCAGTTTTTATTTTTGATGTTCCCTAAGCCTGAATTGCCTTACTGTCACTGGTTGGATTTTCCCAGGGAGTAAACACCGAGATTGAGTTTAGTGTGCAGGACATTTATTAGGGATTTCTTTTGAGATCGACACCTGTAGAAAGGAAGGGAAGGAAACAAGATTTGTCAGGGAGAAGTCAAGCTGTCCCATTAACCTCAGTTGATTCCACAGGGAGCCTTGGAACGAAGTGGACCTTCAGAGTTGTCCTGCATTGGGTCAGAATGGCTGGGCCTTTATGCACCTGCCTCTATCAGTCACTGGATATGGGCTGCCTTCGATGGATATGGCCTTGGCCTGCCAGGCTTTCTTCAACTGAGACCTCGTGGGGACTGACAGCACTCTCAGCAGCTAGAACAGCAAATCCTATTATTACAAAATAGTAAATAATAATGTTCTAACTATTTAGCACAGATAATAATTGTAGTCAGTTTAGTGTCTCACAGTTAGATCTTTTTAAAAATTGAGTTAAAGTTTGTACTTATTTTTTTATGAAGTTGCATATGTTGGGGAAGAATTGTGAAAAGGAAGAATAACTGGGTTATCTTTCATTACTGGCTGGAAGAAGTGGTCAAATTGAAGACAAAACAAGGAATAATTTAAATAGTGGTTTGTTGAATTAAAAAGTATTAATATATTCTACTTCTGGGATGAGATGCAGTAGACACATTTCTTCCCATATATGACAGTGGTCTCATAAGATTACAGTGGGCTATACCATGTAGCTCAGGGCTAAAGACTCTGGATGTTATATATAAAACAAATGTAAGACATTTTGAGAGGTAGACTGGCTAGGGACCTCAGAACCCTAGAGTAACATCTCCTATTTTATGAGATCAGTATTACCTTGATGGAAAAACCAGACAAGGATCATACAAAGAAAGTTAAAGACCAGTATCCCTCATTAACATAGATGCAAATATCCTTAACAAAATATCAAATAAAATACAGCAATATATAAAGAGTCTCATATCATGATTAAGTAGGATTTATTTCAGGGAAACAAGACTGGTTCAGTATTTGAAAGGTACTCTCCTCAAACTATTTGAGGAAACTTTCATCTTTTAGACAGAAATTCTGCATTGGAACTTTAAAGGAGGAATTCACTTTAAAACAATGAAATTATATTTCTATACTTGAATAATCAAAATTTTTTAAAAAAGCAAAAGAATTAAATAAACCCCTTCTTATCATGACTTATTAATGATGCTTAAAAAATTACAAATGAGGGGCCGGCCCGGTGGCGCACTGGATAGTACGCTGCTTGGGAAGCGCGGCGGCGCTCCCGCCTGAGGGTTCGGATCCCACATGTGGACCGGTGCCCGCTCACTGGCTGAGCGAGGC